AGTAACTACAGACACAGGAAGGACAGAATTCCTAAGGTGTGGTTTCACTTTGCTTGTGTCTTGTTTCCATTGTTCTAGCCCCTTTTGGGGGAATTCTAAGCCCTTTGATTTAGTCCCAATTTAGCTTCATCATCCTAGCTCAGCATCAAAGGCTTACCAAAGTTGTTCCTGGGACTCCAAGCCAATTAGCAAAAACACCTCAGCATCTAGAACAACAGTTGCAGGATGATAATTTCAATCCCAGTATGTATACCCTTTATCCTGAGGAGAATCTACCTATGGATTTCCTGGGTAAACCTTCTGAGCCCCCTGAGGAGGTTGAAATTTTTCCACCCCAGCGGAAACAATACAACTTTCATTCCTATTGATTTGTATTTCATTCTTTGGATTTTTCATTTATTGTTTTTTTTTCAAATAAGCAGCACATTCATATGCTTTAAAAATGTAAAGATACAAGGATCTCGAAGAGATATTGGTACCCCCATATTCATAGCAACATTCTTCACAATAGCAAAAACGCAGAAGCAAAGGTAACAAGGGAGGACAGAATAAACAAAATATGGTCTATACACTGGAATATTATTCAGTGCCCCCACTTGCTACAATATGAACTTGGAGGACACTATGCTATGTGAAGAAAGTCAACGACAAAACGGCAAATACCGTAAGATCCCATTTGTATAAGGTGTCAGAGTGGTTGAATTCACAGGACTAAAAAGGAGAGTGGTGGTTGCCAGGGGCTGGAGAGCAGGCATGGGTAGAGTTTCAGTTTTGCGAGATGAAAATGTTCTGGGGATGGATGGTGGTGATCATTGCACAACACTGTGAATGTACTCAATGTCAGAGATGGGCCCGGTCAGTGTGGCTCAGTAGTTGAAAGTCAATCTATGAATCAGAAGGTTACAGTTCAATGCCCAGTCAGGGCACAAGCCTGGGTTGTGGGCTTAATCCCCACTAGGGGGTGTGCAGGAGGCAGCTGATCACTGATTCTCTCTTCATTGATATTTCTATCTCACCCTCTCTTATTGCTCTCTGAAATCAATAAAAATATTGTTTTTAAAAGGGTAAAGATGGTCTATTTTATGGTATGGGCATTTTACCACAATTATTTTAAAAAGGCAGAAAAGTGGAAAAAGTACAGAAGTCACTCTCACACTTCTAACAGCCGTCCAATTCCTACACCCAAAATACCTAACATCACCAGCCTTTGTGCGTCTTTCCAGAATCTATGCCTATACAAGCAAATCCATACATACATGTAGACAGGTTCATTTGAGGAGGAACTGAGTTCTAATACACTGTGATACAGGGGTTCAATGAGACAGACTTCAGACCCTTTGAGCTCATATATTAATGAATGATGCCCTTGTAATGGTTGGGGACTTGAGTCCAGGCTCCAAGTCTTGCTCCGTATATCAGCCACGCTAACAACCTATAGATTTTTGTGGGCACAAAATTCCTTGAACTCAGCATACAAAGAGGACAAATGTATCAATATAGTGTTTGGTTGTTTTTGGGGGAAACTTCCAATTAGAATAACAGAGCCCTGGCCAGAGTGGCTCTGTGGCTTGTATGTTCTTCCATACACCACAAGGTTGTCAGTTGGATTCCTGGTCAGGGCACATGCCTGGGTTGCAGGCTCAATCCCTGGCAGTGGGCATGCAATCAATGTTTTGCTCTCATATCAACGTTTCTCTCTCCCTCTTCTTTTTCTTCTCTCTCACATTTTAAAAAAAATTTTAAAATACAAAACAGAATTTACTCAATCCCCACGTTTCCATAGAAGGGGATTAGGCCAGACTTAGTTGGACCATGTGCCCCATGGCTACAGGTCCTGTGGAGATGAAGCCTGCATGGATTGCATCACGCTTATAGGGAAGGTGAGGCAGGAACATCTATACCACCACCATGAAAGCTGTTGGATGAAAGAAATGATCTCATTGGAAAAGGGGACTATTTTTCCATTACGTGCTGGTACCTGCTGAGCTAGCGATCTGGTGAGCTACTGAAAGGGGATAGGAAATGAGTCTCCAGGACGGTCCCATTTGTTGTTCCTCACCTCCTGGATTCCCCACACTCACTGATCCCCATTCCCAGGCTGTGCCTTAAACACACTATGTATTTGCTGGTATCACTGGACAACCCAGAGAAAAACACTTGCTTTCATTCTCAGTAAGGAACTTTGGGAGGTAACTTGGGCAGGCACCAAGAGAACAGCATCCACAAACTAATTAACCACATAGGAACTGGAGGCCCTTGCACTCTGCCTAGAACCCCACCTAACCATTTCAGATAAGAATTCCAAATTGTCCCCATTTACCCTTTATTCTTATTGAAAATCTCATCCTCATTAGACAATCCTTGTCATGTAGCATCTGTGCCATGTTTTGCTTGTATGTGGCATTGAGAGGTCTAAATGTATCCCTTAGCCAAGGCGGCTGCTTTCTCCAGAAAAAGCCCTCCTAGAAAACAAACACATAAATATGAAATCTGCCTTTCCCTTGCTTTCTCCTGCCACAAAACATACTGGCCTGTTTCCCAGTCCCACTGCTTGACTGGGGGACGCTGTGCTATTGTCCTGTGTGTGGTTGGCTCCATTCTGCATCTCATATTGCTAAGCCACCAGCAGTTATCTGTGGTCATTGAGGTCAATTATTAAATCTTGTTCACTCAGAATTTCTTTTACTCACTCAGGCATTTAAGTCCCACTGACTTAATGTGACTTAGTAATGACTCTCCTCTCTTTGCAGGAATGGAGGAACCAGTACATTCACTTGGAATCACGCGTTGAAGGATCTGTGTCAGACACAGAAGAAAGTAGGTAGGTTTGGTGCTGGGCTGAGCTGGAGGGAGCCGAGGAGCACACACATGACCCGCAGCGGGATCCACAGAGGCTGAGGCAGGACAAGTGAATGGAGAAGTGGCCCCACCAGTATGTTTCCTGAAATAAAGTCCTGAGGAGGGAAGTCTTGGTCAGTTACTGCTCACACATTCCTCTTTACCCTATGTCTCCAGCAACTCCCTGGTAGCTATTCAATAGTTTAGAGGGGTTTCTGTTGTTGTGGTTTGTTTTCAAAAGACTTTTGCTTCTTTATTCAGAGAGAGGAAGGGCAAGAAAGATGCTCCCCTACTACCTGGACATGTGCCCTGACCAGTAATTCAACCATGGACCTCCTGGTACATGAGACGATGTTCAACCAATTGAGCCACACTGGCCGGGCTGGGAGTTTTTTTTTTAAATTAAAAAGGAATACCAAAAACCCTGTGAATTTTGCACTAGCTTTTAAGGGTAAAGAACCTGCTACACCGGGACAAGGCACACATTTGTGCATGATCTAAAAAATTGGCGGGCGGAGGGGTGTGTGTGTGTGGGGGGAGGGGCCGTGAAGGGGTGGGGGAGTGGAGGGGCGAATAGACTCAGGGACAAAAATATTCTGACAACCCCAAAGGCCTGTTGAGAGAGGTGAAAGTGAATGATCCTCTATGGATAGGAGGTCAAATGTATTATAAATAACTGGTGAGCCAGGGGGACAGAGCACCAGAATAGCCTATACCCTTGAGGGAGGAGGAGTCTTCCAGTTCTCAGGGACTGAGTGTATTGGGGAAACAAGGGAGAGAAGACCTCTTCACCTGGTTGGACCACACTCCTGCTTGAGGAAGTATTGGCTTCCCCAGGGATTCCAGCTTCAGCCCTACTTTTCTTGCCTATGGCCCTTCTTATTTGCATATAAATACTTGACTATTTACACTTTAATTCCTTTAATTCCTTACCTCACTGGCTAGAGCTGGTTATGAATTTACACATCTACACTAATAAGAAAAGAGCAATAAGAAAAGCCCAGAGTAAGTATAAGGAAGGAAATAATAAAAGATCAGAGTAGAAATAAACAACATAGAGACAAAAAAAAATACAAAAGATCAATGAAACCAAGAGCTGGTTCTTTGAAAGGCTAAACAAGATTGATGAACCACTAGTCAGGCTCACCAAGAAGCAAAGAGAGAGGACCCAAATAAACAAAATCAGAAATGAAAGAAGTGAAGTAACACCGACCCTACAGAAATACAAAGTATTGTAAAAAAAAAAATACTATGACCAACTCTATTCCAACAAAATGGACCACCTTCAGGGCAAACCAGCCCACCCCCACCCGTGCACCAGGCCTCTATCCTATATGTTAAAAGGGTAATATGCAAACTGACCCTAACAGCAGAAAGACTGGGAATGACTGGTCACTATGACACACACTGACCACCAGGGGGCAGATGCTCAATGCAGGAGCTGCCCCCTGGTGGTCAGTGCACTCCCACAGGGGGAGCTCTGCTCAGCCACAAGCCAGGCTGATGGCTGCCAGCACAGCGGTGGTGGTAGGAGCCAGTCATGCCTCCTCAGCAGCGCTAAGGATGTCCGACTACAGCTTAGGCCTGCTCCCTGCTGGCAAGTGGACATCCCCTGAGGGCTGCCAGGCTGCCAGAGGGATGTCTGACAGCCAGCTTGGGCCCGATCTCCCAGGGAGCGGGCCTAAGCCAGCAGGTGGACATCCTCTGAGGGGTCCCAGACTGCAAGAGGGCATATGCCGGGCTGAGGGACCCCCCTGAGTGCACATATTTTTGTGCACCGGGCCTCTAGTTTGAAATATCCTATCAAATATAGACAAAGATTGAAATTGACCGTACCTTCACTACGCCTCCCATTGGCTAGCCAGTGAGATATGCAAATTAACCGCCAACAAAGATGGCGGTTAATTTGCATACGTAGGTGCGAAGCGGTGGAGCGAAGACTGAAGGCGGCTCTGGCCACCAGAGCAGTGAGAGGCTTGAAGGCGCCTCTGGCCGCTGGAGCAGCGAGAGACTTGAAGGTGCCTCCGGCTGGAGCAAAGGCCTAGGTCCCGGGTGCCGGAGGAAAACCGGTGTCGGCAGCCAGGGGAAGGGAAGGCCTATTGCACGAATCTTTTCATGCAACAGGCCTCTAGTATGTTTAATAATGCGAATAAGGCTGAGGATGTAGTTCAATCAGTGGAGGTTTTATTCTTCACTTTCCTCTGCTGCCTCTTCAGCAGGATATTCTGATGTATTTATCCTCTCTCCTGCGTCTTCTTCACTCTGTTCCCTGGGGTAAGAAGAAGAAGGCCAAGGCTTTTACTCTTGAAAAAAACAATTAAACTACTCATTATTTCCTCATTTTAGATAAGAATTCTAAATTGTTCCTAATCATTTACTTTTTTAGGAAAGCTACATTCTCAGCTGTATCCTGAGGCTTCTGCTCATTTTTCTTAAATATGGCCAGGAAAGATGCAAACAGATTCTTCAGCCAAAGAAACAGTCTTCTGCAGAAACCGCCCTCCTACAAAACAGAAAGGGAAATCTGAACTCTGAGTTTCCCCTGCTTTGTCCCACCACAGTACTTTATCTTCCTCAAATTTACCTCCAGCTGGTCTTCTGCTGATTTTTTCTGCTGGCCACTTGAAAGAGAGCCCCTTGGAAGAAAATATATGCTGACAATTAGTGATTCCATGTCTCTTACACGTGTAGCTCTTACTAGGACTAAATGGTTACCTGGGTCCATACTCCCCAGCAAAATCACCACAGACCTGCCACTTAAAAAACAATCCCTAGCATAGTGGGCTTCGAGAAGTCCTCTGTGTGTGTTTAAAATGCCCCTGCAATACCTCTGGGAGACCTAGGTATGTGGCTTGTGTTAGGGTCACTGAAAGAGGAATGCATGAGGCCAAAGTGGTAAGGGGTTATAGGGTTAGGGTTATTACATCATCTGGAAAACCAGATGGGCTGAGCCCTTTCAAAATGGCACCAGCACCCAGGGACAGGGAGTCAGAGATTTCAAAGGATTATAGGTGGGCTTTTTCTGGGCAGACAATTCTCTGGACCAGTCCTGAAGGGAAAGATATGGGTCTTAGCAAGTGGAATGTAGTCTAAGCGAAAGGGAATATTGGTTGTGAAGTGGTGCAAAGATCAGTTCCCAGGGGAGGATTTATCCATTCAATTATTTGATCAGATCTAATATTCCATTCTTTTTGTTTTATGGAATAGGGACGAAGGTCATATCTTCCGTAGTTACCTAGGGGGGACATCGAGATCATAAGGGGATGGACTCTGATTGTAGTCATCTGGAACACTGTATATATTCCTCATGATTGGAGCAAGGGGTTGCAGCAGCATGATTTCTCCAAGCAACTAGTTGGTGAAGGCTCGAAAGCGGTCTTGTTGAGTGACTTGGAACGTAAAAGCTGGTCCTGAGGATACCTATCTCTGTCTCCCAGCCAACTGGACTGGGACCTGCACCCTAATCTATCTCACCTCTGAAACAGACATTGCCCCTACTAATCGGTCCTTCAAGGTTCCTCTCACTGCTTACACTCGGATCGGGAGAGGTATTGCCCTCCTTCCCTTCCTTGCCTGCATAGGAAAAGCTATAGGCCTAGGCACTGGTATAGGGGGACTGGCAACCTCCCTTTCCTATTATCAGAGCCTATCCAAAGACTTTGCAGAAAGCTTAGAGGAAACTGCCCTGAGTGTTGACTCAGTACGGTATGAGACAGATTCCCTGGCAGCAAAATCGGACAGGACCTGACCTCCGCACAGCTGAGAAAGAGGAAAAATGCTGTTTTTACACCAATCAGTCTGGCATAGTAAGAGATAGGGAAAAAAAAATGGTCGATAGCGCCTCAAAAAAGTCTGACAACAACTTTCAGAATCTTGGGGTTCCTGGCTACAGAATCTTAACTGGACCTCCTGGCTTTTACTTCTAGGTGGACCCCTCTTAATGTTCGTCTTGGCACTCGTCTTTGGCCTGGGCATCCTAAGAGTCCTTTCCTCCTTCCTCCAAAACCATATTCAGGCAATCAGATCCATAGGGGAAATGATGCTATTCCAGACCTACACTAGATATTATCTCCTCCCTCTATCACTGACTAATCAGGGGCATCTCTACACCCCACCTAAGCATGAAGAAGCTACAGAAGAATGAGATCAGCATCTCTCATCCACCCCAGCTTGCAGGAACCCCAGCTTATAGGAATCCCAGCTTACAGGGGGAAAAAAAGAGAGGCTGGAATGTTAGACATATTCTTGCACTCCATTATGCCCTGCTTGGGGCTCTTTCCCCTCCCAACAATTTTCCTGTTCACCAACCAGTTTCTCATTGTAGGTCTCATGATTAACAGCCTTTGGTTTCCAGTAAACTGCTTCACCCAGTTCCCAGTGGACCACCTACACCTGATCTAACCAGTTAGTCTGACTGACCTTTACAGAAACATAAAATATCCTGCTCCCTCTACTCTGCCCTGCTGATGCCATTTTGGTCTCAGCCCTTTCTGCTAGCAGATGTAACAATCTACACTAATAAAAGAGAAACATGGTAATTAGCGTACGACCGCTACCCTTCCCATTGGCTAATCAGCATATCCTTATGCAAATTAACTGTCAGCCAAGATGGCGGCCGGCAGCCATGCACTGAAGCGAACAGGGAGGCTTGCTTGCTCCAGTGACTGCGGACTCCAACGTTCCCCGCCTGCCGCTGCCAGCCTCTCAGCTGCAACTCTATAAGCAACTATGTTGCAAATATAGAAGCTAAACAAAACCCCAGAAACCGGCTTTCAGTCAGCCGGGCTTCAGCCAGCCGGACCGCAACATTGTATCAAATACAGAAGGTAAAGGCCAGAAACCTGCTTTCAGCAGCGAGGCCTCAGAGCTAAAGCTGGCCCAGAATAAAAAAGAAAAAAGAAAAAAAGGAGCGGTTGGGAGCTTCAGTCACCTGCCAGCCGGAAAATGGCCCTCAGCCCCTCAGCCAGCCTGGTCAGGCACCCCAGTGGGGACCCCCACCCTGATCCAGGACATCCTTCAGGGCAAACCAGCTGGCCCCCACCCGTGCACCAGGCCTCTATCCTATATAGTAAAAGGGTAATATGCCTCCCGGCACCGGGATCAGCGTGACAGGGGGCAGCGCCCAAACCCCCGATCGCCCTGCGGCTCTGTGAGTGCCAAGGGGCGGGGCCACAACCTCCCTATCCGCCCTGCTCTGTTCCTGACAGGGGAAGGCGCCCCAACCACCTGATCAGCCCTGCTCTGTGCCTGATAGGGGGGAGCTGCCCAACCCCCTGATTGGCCCTGATCGGCCCTGCTCTGTGTGTGACAGGGTAGAGCCATAACCTCCCCATCGGCCCTGCCCTGAGTGTGACAGTGGCGGCGCCCCAACCCCCTGATTGGCCCTGCTCTGTGGGTGATAGAGGGTGGCGCCCCAACCCCCCTCCACTGGCCTTGCTCTGTGTGTGATGGGGGAGAGTCATAACCTCCCCATTGGCCCTGCCCTGAGTGTGACAGGGTGCAGTGCCCCAACTTCCTGATCCACCCTGCTCTGTGTGTGACAGGTGGCGGTGCCCCAACTCCCCTATTGGCCCTACTCTGTGAGTGACAGGGGGGAGCTCCTCAACCCCCTGATGGGCCCTGCTCTGTGCGTGACAGGGGGGAGCTCCCCAACCCCCTGATCGACCCTGCTCTGTTTGTGACAGGGTACGGAGTCCCAACCCCCCTGATGGGCCCTGCTCTGTGAGTGACAGGGGGCAGCACCCCAACCCCCTGATCGGCCCTGCTCTGTGCGTGACAGGGGGTGGCGCCACAACCTCCCCATCGACCCTGCCTTGAGTGTGACAGGGGGCGGCACCCCAACCCCCCAATCGGCCCTACCCTGAGCATGACTGAGGGTGGCATCGCAACCTCCCGATCCGCCCTGCTCTGTGCATGACAGGGGGCAGCGCCCCAACTCCCCAATCGGCCCTGCTCTGAGCCTGACCAGGGGCTGCACCTAGGGATTGGGCGTGCCCTCTGCCACCCGGGAGCGGGCCTAAGCCAGCAGGTCGTTATCTCCCGAGGGGTCCCAGACTGCGAGAGGGCACAGGCCGGGCTGGGCCCCCCCCCCCCACCGAGTGCACAAATTTTTGTGCACCGGGCCTCTAGTCCTATATAATAAAAGGCTAATATGCAAATCAACCCATCAGTGGAACAACTGGTTGCTATGATGTGCACTGACCACCAGGGGGCAGATGCTCAATGCAGGAGCTGCCCCCTAGTGGTCAGTGCACTCCCACAGGGGGAGCGCCACTCAGCCAGAAGCCCTGAGCCAGCTCACGGCTGGCAAGTGCAGCAGCGGTGGTGGGAGCCTCTCCCACCCTGCAGCAGTGCTAAGGATGTCCAACTGCTGGCTTAGGCCCCTCCCCAGGAGGGAGCCGTCAGTTGGACATCCCCTGAGGGCTCCCGGACTGCGAGAAGGTGCAGGCCAGGCTGAGGGAACCCCCGAGTACACAAATTTTATGCACCAGGCCAAAATTCCAGAATTTATCATTCTTTACTCCTTTTGGCCTCATGTGTTCCTCCTCCGGTGACCCTTACAGCTTGGCATGGGATATAGGTATGATTTTCAGCCCCACTCACCTTCTTGGCACTTGCACAAGTGCCCTCATGCAGTGAAAACATTTTTAAAAAGCACAACCACACTGGGCAGAAGCAGTTTACACTCTCCAGAATCATTTTACATCTGTTTTTAGTCTCACATGCATCATTTGCTGGGGCAGGGTGAGGGGTGTTTTTATTTTCCTAGTTGCCTTATCCTGTAAGTTAAATCACACCAATTAAATATCTGACTCCAACTCGCAAAGTTATCTAGCTTGCTGACTGTCACTGATGAAGGGGTGAGTTGTGAAATCAGTTTAAAGGTCATAACAGACACTAAAATACAAAGTCTTGTTTTTTTAATAAAAACAGAAAAAAATCAGAGTACATAATAATTTTGTTTTAGAAACTACTTATGTCGCCCTGACCGGTTTGGCTCAGTGGATAGAGCGTCGGCCTGTGGACTGAAGGGTCCCGGGTTCGATTCCGGTCAAGGGCATGTACCTTGGTTGCGGGCACATCCCCAGTGGGGGGTGTGCAGGAGGCAGCTGATTGATGTTTCTCTCTCATCGATGTTTCTAACTGTCTATCCCTCGCCCCTCCTCTCTGTAAAAAATCAATAAAATATATTTTTTAAAAAAAGAAACTACTTATGTCTGGCATGTGTGTAATGAGTTGTGACATAAAATGTAGCTCACAGCCCAAGCACAATACAATCAATGGAAAGTCCCTAACAATGGGCAAGGTATTTTCTTTCCCTTTCCCCTTCTCTATTTCCTTTTTATTAAAGAAAAACACAAACTATTGTATAAGGTCTTTCCCAGTTAAAATTTTATGAGTTTAGATAAAGGGAATAGAGAGAGTAGGGGCCTGAAAACTAGTACAGTAAGGCCTCGATTTGGGGGATCTACATCTGGACTTTGGATTTAACAGACAAAATTTCTGGTCCATATGTCATATGTGAAAAATAATACCCTGTCAATTTTAAAATGCTTTTAAGCAAAGTTTGCTTATAATTAAATTAACAGGTTATTTTTTGTTATTAATTCATTATTACTTTAAACAAATTTTAGCAAATAGGTCATATGTTAGAAAAAACACTGTAATAATATTTATGTAAGTAAATATTATATATCTACAACTATAGTCTACATATTTAAATCCAAGAGTCACTCCTTATAAAAAATGATTGGGAAATGATTAGGAAGTAATTACACTGCATGACTTTCTGCAGCAGTTTTAATGTGTGCGGTTCTGAGGTGTTGCTAAGCCCCAGCCGTGTGCATTTGTTTACTCTCAGTGACTAGTGAATGCATGCATTTACTAGACCTGTTTAGTATAAATTTGAAATTACAGACATACAGAAAATTTTTCTGTGAAATTAAACTTTTCATATATAATTTTAATTACACAAATGAGACTACATAAGCAAAAACAGGTAATCTAAAATGTCATTCTAAAATTTGTTTAAAATAACAGTGAATTAATTACAAAATGTCATTTTAACATATGCATTTGGAAAACCCATTTTATTATTGAATAGACTTTTGGCTTAAAGGACACACCCTTGCTCAAATTAGTCTGTTATATTGAGGTTTTCCTGCTAATTTGCAGGAAGGACTCATAGGTTCTACCTTTCATCAGCCTTAAAGGAGACTAGTGTCTTTACCCTAAGACCATGTGGCCTTCCCTACTCTTTCTCCAGAACCTCCATCACTAGCAGAAACACATACAACCAAGACCTCTCCCTCTACACCATCTCCTTAAAGGAGTAGTGACAGCAGACGCATCTGTGCCAGTCTGTTCTATTTCAGCTTTGGCTAAGGAGCCATTTTTGCAAAATCTAGGCAAAGCATCAGGATAAATAACTATTCTTTCCAAATTTGATGGTTTCCTCGCTGTAAAATGAGGAGATTGAAATAGATGAGTTATGAATTCTTCTGTATTTTTTTTAAAATAATGAATTTACTCCCAGACCATAAGTTTTTGGGGTTTTGTTTTTTTGTTGTTCCTCTGGGATATCTTTTTCTTCTGTGCAACCTCCTCTTCTGTTTTAGGAACAATCTGCTCTTTTCCAATAAGGATCATCTCACTGTGGCAGGGAGAGCTCATGTATGGGTTAACCTGCCCATGAGCTCTGTAAGTTCTGCACTGCATCTTGGGAGCTTTGTTCACCTGGATGTGCTCAGTGACCAGAGAATCTACGTCTAAACCTTTAAGCTTGGTGTTGATTTCTACATTTTTAAGTACGTACAGCAAAAATTCAGCACTCTTTTTAGGCCACTGACCTTGCGCCCAGCCCCACTCTTGGGCCTGGGCACACCTACCAACCCCACCATTGTAATGACAGAATGGCACACACTGCTTCCGTAAAGTGACATCCTTCAGATGCTTGGTGGTTTTTTGAATATACCCTTGGTGGCATGGGCAGTTTCACAAGTGTGCTTAAAGGGAACAAAAAGGTTTAAACCTCTGGACTTCCATGATTTTGTTGGGTTTTCTGACTCAGTGAATAATGAACCATTTTCAGAGGTCACCTCTGGCTGCTTAGAGAAAGTTCCTCTAGTGCTAAAATTCTATTTTAAAAATCACCAGACTCATATTTACCTTGAGCTTTCTCTTGAAGCCTCCTTACTGTGACAAATCTGTTTTGGGAGAAAACAACATCATGATTATTCATCACAATGACCACTGTCTCTAAAGCTTTGATTCCTGCCATGACTCCTTCCCTTTTAAGTGAGATGATAACTCTTTTGAGGACAAAAACTCTGCCTAGTCCTTTGACTCTTCCATAGTCTTAACTTAGGACCTTGCATGCAGTTGGCCATGCATTTTATTGGCTGTTTCAAATCACATTCAGCAGATAATTCCCAATAAAAACTCTTAGAAGTAGAAAAGAAAATGAAAGTATCTACCAGAAATCTACACAGCAGCTTTGTTTTAGGTCAAGGACAAGAGTAGGATGCCAGTTATTACTGATACTATTCATCATTGGTGAGGAGGTCCTAATCAATTTAATAAGAAAAATGAAGTACTGGAAAGAAAGAGACAAAACCTATTTGCACATGAGATGATGCACAACCTAAAAAGCCCAAGAGCCATAGATTAAACTATTTAAAAACATATATTTTTATTGATTTCAGATAGGGAGAGGGAGAGATAGAAATATCCATGATGAGAGAGAATCATGGATCTGCTGCCTCTTGCACACCCCCTACTGGGGATCAAGCCCACAACTGGGCATGTGCCCTTGACCGGAATCGAACCCAGGACCCTTCAGTCCGAAGGCCAATGCTCTATCAACTGAGCCAAACTGGTTAGGGGGAGATTAAACTTTTATTGGCAGTAATACAATTCAGTAAGATGGCTAAATCCAAAATCAAGAGCTCAACATGCAGCCATAGCTGGTTTGCTTAGTGGATAGAGTATCAGCCTGCAGACTGAAGGGTCCCAGGTTCGATGCCTGGGTTATGGGTTCCATCCCCAGTGGGGAGCGTTCAGGAGACAGCCGATCAATGATTCTCATCATTGATGTTTCTCTCTCTCTCTCCCCCTCCCTTCCTTTCTAAAATCAATAAAAAATATATTTTAAAAAAGAGATCAACATGCAAACCTCAATATCTTTCCTACATAACACAAATAACAAAAGAAAATGAGAGAACCCATTTACAATAAATACATAAAGTACCCAGAAATAAACTTAACAAAAAATGTGTTAAGACCTATGTAATAAAAACATTAAAACTCTTCTAAAGGCCAATAAGAGAATACACATGAGGTATCCTGTCCCTAGAATTCTGTAAAGATGTCAATTCTCCTCAAATGAAACCTACAGATGCAATGCAATCTTATTCAAATTCCAAGATAGGTGTTTTTTTTTATTGATTTTATAGAGAGGAAAAAGAGGTAGAGAGAGAAACATCTGTGTGAGCAAGAAACATCAATGGGTTGCCTACAAACCACTTCTGACCAGGGATCAAACCCGAAATATGGGCATGTGCCCTGACTGGGAATCAAACACACCACCCTTTGGTGCATAGAATAACACGCCCACCAAGTAAGTCACATCAGGCAGGACCCAAAATAGTTTTTAAACAAAAACTGGCCAGCTGACATTTGGTAGAGAAAATGTGAAAGAATAGCTATGAAATTTATAAAAAAGATAAAAAATCAGGAGCTTACCCTATCAGAAGTCAAAATATAAAGGAACTGTAATTAATAGTGATACTGCTATTACCCTAGTGATACAGAAAAAGACAACTGAATCAATAGAATGGAGTCCTGACAAAGAATTTTAGATCAGTAAAGAAAGAGCCATCCAATAAAAAATTTTAAAACAATTGGATATTCATGTAGAAAGAAAAGAAGTCAACCACACTAAAAACAAAGTCAATGATCAAGTTAAAAAATTAGAAATAACAATATATGTTATAAAAAGGGCTAAAAAAGATCAGACTATTTAGATACTTGAGATGACAAAGGCCTCACTAACAAAATCCACACCCCATAAACCATGGGAAGACTGTCAGATATGGTGACAAACTGTCTACACACATCCTAGTCTTCAAAGCCCTTGCCCTCTTACACCCTTGACTGTCTTCTTCCTGTCGATTTTTGGAACTCTTTTTATATTAAACCAGAGGCTCAGTGCACGAAATCACGTGACACCCAAACCCACCGTGCTGTGAGACCCATCAATGCACCTCCTGGTGACTGGTCATTTGGTCATTATGGCATTATGGCCACTGGCCTTTTATAATAGAGATAACTTAATCCTTTCAGTGGCTTTCATTGAATTTCAATGTTTCAAATATTCCCCGGTGGTTTTTGTGTGTTTGTGTGTGTTTTTTGTTAATCCTCACCTGAGGGTATTTTCCCCATTACTTTTCAGAGAGAGAAGGGAAGAAGGGAAAGGGTGGGAGAGAGAGAAAGTGTGAGAGAGAGTAATGGATGTGAGAGAGACACATCCACTGGTTGCCTCCCACATGGCATGTGCAACCCAGGTACTTGTCCTAGACCAGGAATCAAACCTGTGACCATTTGGTGTGTGGGGCGATGCTCTAACCACTGAAGAAAACCAGGGCCCCAGTGTTTTTGTCTTTTCTAAGAAGACAGAACAGTGGAGTAAGAAGCACAAGCTTTGTAGTCAGGCAAAACAGGATTCTGTTTTTGGTTTTGCCATTGGGGCCTTAAGTTGATCTCCATCTATGGAAGAAGACAGTACTATGGTCCTCACAGGATTGTGGAGATTGAATCAGATAATACATGGAAAACTTTTCATCTATGCTTGACATAAACCAGTGCTAAGCCTGGTAATGGTGACACAGACAAGGTGATTTCTGCCTGTGGTATTAGACGCAGAAAGCTCTTTCCCAACACCAGGTTATAAAAATATTGCTCCTAGCCCTGGCTGATGTGGCTCAATTAGTTGGACATTATCCCATGCATTAAAAGGCTGCTGGTCCAATCCAGCCAGTGTGCCTCAGTGGTTGAGAACTGATCTATAAACCAGGAGGTCATTGTTCGATTCCCGGTCAGGGCACATGCCTGGGTTGCTGGCTCAATTCCAAGTAGAGGTATGCAGGAGGTAGCTGATCAATGTTTTTCCCTCTCCTTCCCTCCTCTCTCACTAAAAATCAATAAAAAAAATATTTTAAAAATAAAAATAAGCCCTGGCCAGTGTTTCTCACTGGTTAAAGAGTCAGCCCTCCCACCAAAGGGTTGCAGGTTCAATTCCCAGTCCAGGTCACGTACCTGCATGGCCCGGTGGGAGCTCCTGCAGGAGGCAACCAATAGATGTGTCTTTCTCCTCTCTCTCTCCTCTCTCTCTCTCCCTCTCTCTCTCTCTTTCCCCCGTCCTTCTTTCCCTACTTCTCTCTCTAAAAGAAAGCAATGGAAAGCAATGGGTGAAGATTTTTTTAAAAATAATAAAATAAATTAAAATATTGCCTTTTATTTTCTTCTAGTACTTTTATGGGTGTTTTTTTTTTGCATTTATGTAAATATGTTTGTTTGAGGTGAGAAACAGAGATCTGCTGTTATTTCCCCCTCAAATACTAGATAGGTAGCTTTTCCATTACCATTTATTCATTTTTCTTCCACAGATTATAACACTAAAAGGTGACATTTCAGAAGTCTTAGGAACACACAGGTCTGTCTATTGCTACACTCTGTATGCTACTTCAAACAAATATTAGGTTGCATTACTCCTCATTGTAGAATTGCCCCATCTTTCTTCCTTTGAACACTATTACTATCCACCACAAAACATGACACACTCAAAAAGCTTATCATCTAAGTAGGAAGAGAAAATAATGAAACAACATAAGTAAATACAAATGCAAGGATAAACCACACAGAAATTAAATGCAGTATAGGAATTTATAGAAATTCCAAAAAAAGCAAAAGGCCATATGCCACCTGGAGATGTAGAGGGTACTGTCTGGGCAATGGCCAATTACTTTCTTCCCAGAGGTCTTGGCAAGTTGACCCCAAGCTACTCCCTAGGCTGCTAGGCTCAGAAATAAGACTCTCTTCACCAAGAGAAAACTCACTTCTTCCTATTGTGGAAGTCTCAATTTATCAACACCGCAGGATTAATAAAAAATCAGAATGCCAGATTATGACCTGACAGTGAGAACTACATCTGTTCCACAGCATCTGTGCCTCTACATGATCAGGGAAACACATTCTGTAGAGATAGGCCACCATGGCACACTAAAGCACAATCAGAGAACAGAATAAGAACAAAAGGAGCCCTAGCTGGTGTGGCTCAGTGGATAGAGCATCAGGCCTGTGGACTGAAGGGTCCGGGTTTGATTCTGGTCAAGGGCACATGCCTGGGTTGCAGGCTCAATCCCCAGGAGGGGGCGTGCAGGAGGCAGACGATAAATGATTCTTATCATCGATGTTTCTAGCTCTCTCCCCCCTCTCCCTTCCTCTCTGAAATCAATAAAAATATATTTTTTAAAAAGAACAAAAGGGCCGAAACCGGTTTGGCTCAGTGGATAGAGCTTCGGCCTGCGGACTGCAAGGTCCCAGGTTTGATTCCGGTCAAGGGCATGTACCTGGGTTGCGGGGCACATTCCCAGTGGGAGATGTGCAGGAGGGCAGCTAATCGATGTTTCTCTCTCATCGATGTTTCTAACTCTCTGTCTCTCTCCCTTCCTCTCTGTAAAAAATCAATAAAATATAAAAACAAACCAAGAAAAAAACACACAAAGGGACCAGCCAATGTTTTAATGACAAGGGACTGAATAAGCCAGA